GCATCTTAGACGCAATCACCATGGATTAAAAGATAAAAAAATAACATAAACGTTCAAGAGAATTAAACATGCAAAACTGTAAGAAACCCTAAAATGCATTTAGAACAAAAAAATATACCTTTTAAACCATCGCTTTGTGCCGTCGTGGAGATGAGAGGATGAAGGTGGCGCTCTGGCAGCGTGGAGGTAAGAGGAAAGATCAGAAGCTCATTTGGTTTGAGAATGACGAAGAGAACGAAGAAGAAGGAGGCGCCGCTGTAACCAAGACTGCAAACCCTAACCAACTGAATTAACCCTAACAAAATTTGTTCAACATTCACTTGGGCCTTCGCCCCAAACAAACACCTAAGCCCACTTCATTCTTACTAACACGCACCCCCCTCCTTTTCCCCTCTTCTGGCCATTTTGTTCTTCTTTTGGGTCATCCAAAAACACATGCTTAAGCCCACCTTTTTTTTAAACTCTTTTCTTTCTTTAAACTAATACTCTTTCATTTATTTTCTTTCTAAATGATTTCCTTTTTTAATAAGAAACAATTAATAGATTAATTTTCATTTTGATTTTTCTCAATATAATTTTCTTTAATGTTTGTTTTCATTCAATAAAAATACAAAAATGATAGAGGCATTAATTCAAATTATTTTCTTTCTTTAAAAACTTTTCCTTCACAAAAAATAATAAAAATAAATACTTAAGTCTTTATTAGATTAAATTTTATTTGATCATTTGTAAATAACCACATGCATCTCATAATACTTTTGATTCTATTTATTTTTACGTTTTGTTACAATTTTTTAATATTTGAATTGCGTCAATTCGATTTGGTTGTAACCCATAATATTTGGGACATTATTCTGATAAGACTCATCCCCATTTGTAAATAATTTGTACCCCCATCCCCGGATACTCTCTTGTAATAGCTTAGAATTTAATTCTCGCACTTTATGTTTTTTTAAATATGCCATGATTAGAGATTAGGGTTTGTATGTGAAAGTCTAAAAATTGATCGCTAGATGACCTAATACAAAGACAAATGCATGAATATGACAAACACCATTCACACTTGCACCTCTAGGGTAACCTCGCTTGTCGCCTCGGAAAATGAAATCATGTCCCTCGAATACGAGACACTCTAGCAAATGCCCCTTCAATAAACAAAGATCGTAGTCCCTCGATGACCCTCAATGTTGCCTTCGATAAAACGATCTCGCCCCTTACAAAATTTCTAGAGCGTCTCACAAGTTGCTTTCAATGATTGTATACGATGACCCGCGCCTGTCCCGTTTAACATCCTAACACAAGGTTGTTCATCAAATACAATGATGAAATAACACTGTTAAAAAGGTTAAAAACATAAGAAAGATCTTTGAGTAGAATAGGGTAGACAACTCTTAGTTACTTGATCAAAAATCTTGCAAAACATCCTTGCCATTTTCAAACACACTTCACAACACAACTTCAAAACAATTTCAAAACAACTTTCAAAAACATTGAAATATCCTTTCAAAAAGACACACACATTTGTATATATTCAAAACAAGAATCATTACAAAGGTTGCCTAGATAAGGCATCTTTTTCAAAACATTTTCAAAACCACACACACAAAGCACCATTTCAAATAATTGAAAAGCAAAGGCAAGTGATCTAAAAACAAGTAACTAAGAGCCCATGGATAACCATGGATGAAAAGGATGCTAGCACCTTCCCTTTTCATAATCTACCCCTCGAACCCAAGAAAACATCTCAAAGGTCTTTCCTGTGCTTTTTGACCTTTCCTTTGGATAAAATAAAAAGTCGGTGGCGACTCTTACTAAACCGAACAAGTGCGAACACAAATGCAAAATCCCAAGTCAGTTCTCCCACCGTATCACAGACGTTGCAAGGGTAAGTTTCATGTCGACGACATAAGATAAAGGCAATGTTAGATCGGAAGATGGTCCTTGAAGCTTCTGTGTTATCTTCGAGGAACTTGCATTCACTTTCCTATAATTTCATCGCAGATCTGGATCCAAATCTAGGATCCTTTCTTCTTTTACTTTGCGGAGTTCTCGAGGGACTCATAGATCTGGAAATTTGATGAATTATCATTGAAATGATAATTAACTGGATCTAATGTGAAGGATATCCAATTTTGATGCTAAAATGTTCTTGATTTAGTGACCTAAGGTGATTGTAAACTGATAAGTTAGAGATTATATATGATATTATAGAAATCGAAAGTTGTTTCGCACAGACAGTGTCACTCTTACATTCAAGAACCAGATTAGGATGTAATTGGTGAACTGAATGTCTTGAACCGACAATGTTAATCTCTTTTATGACGGTACTTGGTGAACCTGCATGATTTGAACTCTGACACTGAATTTAGTCAAGGTTCATGATGAGAGTAGTGAAAAATGGAGATCATAAAGTGTACCTTATTTCTGGTATGAACTATTTTTAATATTTTGGATCAAGTGGAATGAATTGAGGCGAATTGGACTTTGACTATTTGTGCCTTTGAACGACCAAGAACAATATGCTACAATATATATATATATATATATATATATATATATATATATATATATACACTCTCTCTCTCTGTGGAGTTGATGTTCTACATATCAAAGTTATGACGAAAATCAAGAGTAAGGTGGGTTCGAGAGGGTGACTCCAAGTCAAAGTATTTTAATTTGGTAACTCTACACGACTTCGTTTATAACTTTAATCCAAAAAACGAGTAATCCTCTAGGCTTGAAACTTTAATCCAAAAAACGAGTAATCCTCTAGGCTTGAATGAGTTTCGTTCTATTTGTCTCGTAGGGAGTGTGTATAGAATTTTAGCGAAATTATTGATAGAAATATTTAAAAAGTTGATAGGTTCCTTGGTGTCTTCGTGTGAATCGACTTTTATTCATGGCAGACAAATGTTAGATAAGGTGTTGGTGATAAATGAGCTTGTGGATTTAGCCAAAAGGAAGAAGGATTGTTTGTTGTTTAAAGTTCATTTTGAAAAGGTGTATGGTTATGCGACATGGAGTTATTTAAGACATATAATAGACATAATGAAATTTGGTTGTAGGTGGATGAGATGGATGAAAGCTTGCATTTTCTCAAAGCTCAATGTCGATTCTGGTAAATGGCAGTCCTACTAAGGACTTTCAGGTGGAGAGAGGTTTGCATCAAGGAGGTCCATTGTCGCCTTTTCTGTTCTTTCTCGTAGTCAAAGGATAGACGAGTCTTGTGTAGAATGTACTGCAGTTGGGTCTTTCCAGCCTTTCAAGGTCTCATACGAAGTTAATTTCAATATGTTACAATTTGAAAACAATACGATAATTGTTGGAGAAGGATCATGGGAAAATCTTTGGACGATCAAAGCTGCATTGAGAGGTTTTGAATTGGGTAGTCTGTGTAAACTTTAACTAAAGTAAGTTATATGTCTCAATCTCAAGGATGGTTTTTTTAAGGTTACTTCTTCATTTTTGACTTATTGTACCACTAATGTTCCTTTTTAGTTTCTTAGCATTCGAGTCGGTGCAAATCCAAGGAGAGTGATCACTTGGAGACCTCTATTGGACAGGCTTAGGAATCACATATCACTAGAAAGGAAATTTTCTATGTATAAGAGGTTAAGTGGCTTTATTGAATTATGTTCTAAATTTAATTCCAATATATCTTTTTTCCTTTTATAAGGATCCCAAGTGTATTATCAAAGAGATAGTGAGGATTCAATGGGATTTTTTGTGAGGTGGAGATTTATAGAAAAGGAAAATTATGTGGATCAACTAGTGGCTTGTGTTTAAATTGAGGAAACAAGGTGGGTTAAGAGTAAAACATCGTGGGAAGTTTAAACTCTCTCCTCATTTTTAAATGGATATCATTGCTGAATCGACTGCCAACTAGAGCAACCTTGACTAATAGAGAAATCATCAGGGAAAATCACAATCCAGTATTTCCCTTTTCTTTTTTTTTCAGATTGTCGGCTGGAGTTTCAAGTTTAAGAAAATATATATAAGTGGTTGGATATTTCTATCAATTTATAGAAAAAAAACTGCAGCTGTAATAAATTTAGCATTCTCAATATAAAAAAACGTGAGATATCATGGGGATTTTTTAAATATTTTTTCTATAAAGAGATCACAAGGACTTTCCTTTTCCCCAAAAAGGGAGGCATTTTTTATTTATATTTTTTCCCATCAATTGGCTCGTTTTGTTGCATTATCAGATCCATGGAGTATTTAATTATTTAATTAATAAAGTGAAAGCGAAAGACGGGCTCTACGTATTTTTCTATCTGTTTAATTCTCTACCAACTATGACCGTTTCGTTCACAAGTCACAACACTTTAATCAAAATCAAATTCGCGTAAACTCAAACCACTTCTATTTATATTCCACCATTACCTTCATCGCACAACAGTGACCTGCACTGTTTCTTTTCATTATCATACTCTCTCTCTCTCTCTGATTACTTTTCTCTCCAAACTCTCTCTCTCTCCCTCCCCAGGTTTGTTTGATCGATTATCGATTAACTTCTTTTCTGCTCATTTTTCAGCTATTATTTCCTTCAAGAAAACAAGAATCGCGTTTACACTCTCCGAACTTTTTTTTTACCTTTTTACTAGCTCTCAGATTTAAAATCTTACTCACCTCTATATCGTGCCGTTTTGGTTCCTAAAGTTTGAAACGATTACTGTTGTATCCATTTCACTTTTCAATTAATCTAAACCACTGAGTGAAGGGTAAAATATTTTATTTTCACTTCTAATCAATTTTTAGGTGATTATTATAGTAAACGCTACTATGTTTGAGTTAAAATTTTTGCTCTGATTTGAAAAGTAAAAAGGCTAAATAAGGTGTTAAAGTTGGTCAATTCTGAATCAAGAGTGTTAATAGATCAATTTTTTTTTTCAGAAGAGAACAATAATAATTCAGGTAGAAAATGTTGACCTTCATGTATTGGAAATAAACGTGTTATTACTTTCCGATAATATTTTTAGGTTGAGTTCTGAGTCAACATGTTTCTTCTTAGAAAGCAAACCCAGAATCAGCCAGAGAATGGTTCCTCAAATCATGATGCTAAGGTACACTTCATTTATTTTGCCGATTTCGCTAAATTTTCTGTTAATTCAAACATGCATTCGGTGTATGGCTATGTATGTATACTCGTAATTACTAAAATAGTTTTACGACCGGGTTTTGTTAAGTATAAATGTTCAAGAGTTTGATCTCAGACTCGCGCGTGTCGAAGAACATCTATTTGGAGCCGGGTTCACCAAAACAACTAAGAAATTTCAGATCAAGTATTGAAAAAGCCAAATAAAAGTAGCTGATGATTTTGATTGCAATATATCACGGCTTCGTATAATGATAATAGGAAAAAATTTAGGTTTTGTTTATGTGAAAATACATTCATAGCAAGCACTAAGTGTACTCGGATCTATGAACAGGTGGCTGAACTAAGAACTGCTATTGGGCCCTTATCCGGGCGTCGATTGATGTATTGCACAGATGCTTGTTTAAGGAGGTATTTAGAAGCACGGAATTGGAATGTTGATAAAACCAAGAAAATGCTGGAAGAATCACTTAAGTGGAGATCTAGTTATAAGCCTGAGGAAATCCGTTGGGTTAGTTTAACTTATTTGATTTTGACCTTGACATACACCACTGATGATGCCGGAATTTTTGTATCATGAACATGCTATACATTATAATTGTGGCGTTGATCCATACCATAACCAATTTGACAAATTGATGAAGTGCTGAGTCTTCTGGAGCTCTGCTATTTTTGTTCTACTGTCTAACTTGTTTTGATCTTACTTAATGATTGATGTGTTGTTTTGCCCCTTTTCTTGACCAACACAGTTCATTTCATTTTATGTCTCTCTTCTATAATCTGCTGCAAGATACTTTTATGTATTTTAACATATGTAGTTTTTTTTGCTCAAGAAACATTAGTATTCGGATTACTCAAATATAAGGTGAACAACGTGCATCTAAGTTTCAAATTGTAAAAATTAAGTTGCTGTCATGGCTTGGAGTCCTGAAATTGATATATTAGCTTCAGAGTACATTTAGTTTCGAAATGATGACGTGTTTCTGCATGAGTTTAATATCTGCATAGCCTGCTAGGACTAAATGAAGTCATCATCAAGTGATAACCTATTTATGCATATTTTTATTTCATGCAATATAACCTATATTTACAATTGAATGGTTTCCTAAACTCAGGCTGAAGTAGCACATGAAGGCGAGACGGGGAAAGTATCTCGAGCTAACTTTCATGATAGACTTGGGAGGACAGTGCTTATTATGAGACCAGGGATGCAGGTTTGAACTAAGATGTACACTCATTATTATTAAGGCTATATGTAGATAATTAAGTAGGCTTCTCTGTACATAACAGGTTAACTAATTCTGTTGAATCTGTTGAATCTGTCAGAACACAGCATCACCCGAAAATAATATCAAGCATTTAGTCTATCTGTTGGAAAATGCTGTACTTAATCTTTCCGATGGTCAAGAACAAATGTCATGGTTGATAGACTTCACAGGATTTACATTTGGCACAAACATTGCTATTAAAACTGCTCGTGATATTATTCACATTTTACAAAACCACTATCCAGAAAGGCTTGCTATTGCTTTTCTGTATAATCCACCAAGAATATTTCAGGCTTTCTGGAAGGTTTGTTCTCTCCTTCCCTGCAACTATAATTGTTCTTCCTCATTGTTGCATGCTGTTATTTAGCATAGTTTTGGTAAATGGTAGGTCACATTGCATGGTTGTGATTTCTCTCGCTTATATTTTAAAGATCAAACACTACTTGGCTAATAATTGTTTGTAAGTGTATTTTTCTTTGTTTCACAAATAACTTCTAGAACATTGATAATAGTTGAATATCTGTTTTACTTTCCACATTAAACTCGACTAGGACTTTCACCTAGATGTACTATTTATTATTTTTGAATGCTAGTCATGACATGATTTTCCACTTGTCCCTTCCCACAGTCCTCGATTCATGTCCCCGGGTCCATTTTCTTTCTCTTATGTTCTTTCATTTCTGTCCGTACCTTTTTTCTATTCAAGGGTTTAGATTTCACGTTTCCCTCGTGTCAATGTAGAGATTCCATTCCTGTTTTATATTGATTTTGGATCAACTTCTTGTGCTTATGATTTGATGTAGGATTATAAGTTTTTAACAGTTATCTCTTCCATTTAACACAATTAAAACTACTTCCATTTTGATAGGCTGTGAAATACTTCCTGGATCCCAAGACAGCCCAGAAGGTAAAGTTTGTTTATCTCAACAACAAAGACAGTGTGGAACTGATGAAATCACTCTTCGACATGGAAAACCTTCCTAGTGAATTTGGCGGAAAAGCTACTTTACAGTATGACCATGTAGAGTTCTCAAAGTTAATGACTGAGGATGATGCGAAAACTGCAAAGTTCTGGGGACTTAATGACGAGAAGCCCTTCACTACTAAGAATGGCCATGGCGGGGCAGAAGTAGCACCAGAACCAGTATAGTTAGCCATGGCGGGGCAGAAGTAGCACCAGAACCAGTATAGTTAGCCATGGCGGGGCAGAAGTAGCACCAGAACCAGTATAGTTAGTTGATTAAGTTTTCATATTATGTCTGTTATTACATTAACAGTGCTATATTGCTTCTTTCAACTTTTATTCATAACAGCTCGTTCCTGAAATCCACACACATTTTCATTGACATATTCCAATGCCTCAATAAAAGTATTAAGGTTGTGTGCAAAACGAATTTTTATAAGTTATTCCACTATTATATTAACAAGCTGAGTATACATCAATCAATGGTTTGGTTTGGCCAGAAGTCAAAAGTGTACTACGTTATCATGCTTTTCATGCCTTGTATTTACCGGGGAAGCATTTAATTCCACGACTCTTATGTGCCAAAGAATTCCTCTAGATTTTGGCATAGAAAGTTCTTGTGGTCTTGAAGTCTTGTTTGTACTAAGTCCTTAAACATTGCTCTGGTTAGAATAGGATCGTTGAAATTCAGAAAATTAGTAAACAAGTTTAAACACTAGTATATATATTTCTACACAAATTAAGTATAATAAATATTAAATTTAGAGTTTTCAGCCCAACATTTCTTTCGCCTACTATTCAGCATCCTCTCATTTCAATTATCTCAAAGAAATAAAAGTCAATTGTATTTTCAAAATTTTCCTTTATGGTTACTTGTTTTATGGGAATAACGGTAATTTGAAAACTACAGTTGAAATTAGTAAAAGAGTATAATGAATAATAAAACTAAATATGTTAAAATTAATTACATTTTGCTTATATATAAAATCATGACAGAAAACTTTTTTTGTGTGGTCACGATGACTTATTAATTTTGCATTTAAAGACATTTTGCTTCTACGATTTTACCTTTAACATGTCAAAGTATTGATAGTACTTGTTTTATTGTTCCAAAGTGAGTTTTCAAGTGACTGATTCTATGTTTTCATTGTAAAATTCTTTCCTTTATGATCTCTATTATTTATCCCTCATTAACATAATTATTAACCCTTATTACATTTTTTGTAGTAATAAATCTTGTTTGTATTAACGTATTTATAAACTAATTAATTGAACATAAACAAAATGGTCCCGTAGCTCAGTTGGTTAGAGCGTTGGTCTTATGAGCCGAAGGTCGCGGGTTCGAGCCCCGCCGGGACCATCATTTTTTTCTATTTAATTCTACACGATTTCTCATAAAAGGTGACAAGAAGTCAGATTCTAGGGATTGATTCTATTCCCGTGTTTGGATGAAGAGTTTGGGGGACTTGACCCAGAGGATCATATAATAATTTAATCACGTTTAGTTTTTTAAAAACCATTTTGTAATTTTGTTAATGTAGAAAATAGAAGACACTTAATATATGAGCACAACCCCTTTCTCAAATTATTATTCATTGTTAAGTGTCGAGATATGTACAGAAACAAAAAGGAGAATTAGGCCAAAACACTTACTTACAGAAATTTAAAAAAAAGGTAATCGTAATCTATTTTTTTTACAAAGGAATAAAATTAAAAAATGTAAGAGAGATAGATGTGCACTCTAAGTTAGCTAAAAAATCTATACAAGAATTCTCTTTTATAAATACGTGAGAAATTAAAAAAAGTCATGTTAGTCAATATATTCTTACAAAAATGTCAATAGTTTCTTAATTGGTAAGACATTAAGAAATCCTTTGAAAAAGCTTGGATAACCAAAAAGGAGTTTGTCTCAATCTAAAACTTTGACCATGCTTTTATCTTTAACAATCTCAATTACCTTAAGCACGAAAAAGAATTTGTCATGTAAGGAAGAATAAAAAGTGATTGGTTCTGTATATTAAGATATTATATTAGATTTGATTAAATTTAATATTTAAAAATAATCTAAGTTGTGTAAGTTTAATTCAATTAAAGTTGTATATAAATAGTTATAGTGTGTATCTTTATTTTGTATAATATAATTCAAGTGAATAATATAATTCTTATTTCTTTTATTATTATCTCCTTCTCTCCTCACTAAAAGTGTCTCACACATTAACAAGTTGGTATCAGAGCCTTGGTATCATAAAGCTACTTATTGCATTCAGACGACAGTCGCCGCTGCTAACTTCGAGAGAATTTCTCATGCTGAAACAGAGAAAGAGGCATGGAATATTCTGGTGAAGTATTATGAAGGAGGTGAGAAAGTCAAGATTATGAAGTTGCAAACCTTGCATCAATAATATGAGTTGTTGTCGATGGGAGAAGACGAAAAAATTGCAGAATATGTGTCGATGGTTCAGAAACTCATCCATCTCATGAAGGATTGTGGTGAAACCATAACTGATAAGATGATAGTTGAGAAGATAATGAGAAAGTTGACATCTCACTTTGATCACATTATCGTAGCTATTCAGCATCCAACAATCTTGAAACCCTAAAAGTGGAAGATTTGATTGGTTCGTTGGAGGCGCATGAGATGAGAATTGTCGAAAGGAAATGAGTTCAAGACTCGATACAGGCACTGCAAGCTCATTCATGAAAAAAGGATGGTGGTTCCAACAAATTCAAAGGCAAGTTCGACAAGACCCAAGGCAAAAAGTCTTGGTCGAATCCCCACAAGAATAAGGTCGAAGATGGATCTTCTGAATCCTCAAAAAGGGGAGGAGGAAACTATCGAAAGGAAAAAAGAAGATAAAAAAATATACAATGCTATAACTGTGAAAAGTGGGGTCACGTAGCCAAGAATTGTTAGTAGAGGAAAGACAATGGATTAAAAGGAAATGACGAAGGCACATACCTTGCACACCAAGATTCAAATGATTTTGAAGGTGGTATGGTGATTATGATTGTAGTTACAGATAACCATGTTGAGTCCAAGATCCGGTTCCTCGACTAAGGTTGCTCGAATTAAATGACTGGTAGAAAGGAGTGGTTGGCAGATTTTGACGAGTCGAAGAAGAGCAAGATAAAACTTGTTGATAATAGTTTGTTGCAAGCAGAAGGTACTGACAACATAGTCTTTCAAATGAGTAACAAAAGAAAAGTTATGATCAAAGATGTGCTCTATGTACTTGGAATGAAATGTAACTTGTTAAGTGTTGGATAACAATTTAGTCTTAAAATCTTCGTTAACGAAGAACAACATATTTAAGACTATGATCAATTCAACATAAGTTCAATGTTTAAAAATTATTGTCAACCACAAGGATAGTTGGTTGTGGAATTTGAGGTTTATACATTTGAACTTTCGATCACTCAATCATCTTGTAATAACCGACAAAAAATATAGACTCATCACTATTAATTTTTATCCTAAGACAGAAATATAACAGAATAACCCTAATTGATGATACAGAGATTCTAAGTTCTTGACTCACTTTAGATGAAGTAAAGGTGTTAGGCACCCTTCGTCTACCTTGTTCACAAGGATACTAGGGTTTAGATTTAAGTTTTAGGAATAGGGTTTTAATTTTTTAGTTAGGGGAACTCGCCACGGTTTTTAAGTCGTATGCCTACGTATTCTCTTATGAGGAATCAGAGTTACAATTCGTAGTTCGTAGTGTTTGGTTGTTTTTTTTTATGAATTGTGGAAATATTTTAAATTAATCCTTGTATCAAGTTTGGGTTGAGAATGGTGGAATCATAGACACATTCCGCAGTTAATGTAAAAGATTTCCACAATCATTTTTGAAAATATCTTATTTTTTATATGTTAGTAGAAAAATTGTTAGTATTTGGTGGGTTAACTATTTTAGAGTATAGGATGCAATATGCAAAAATAGGTTTAAATGAATAAAAATGTTTAATGCAATTTAGAAATAGGGGTAGTGTTTTAAAAATAGTTTGATTAATAAATAACTATTTTATAATTTATTAAAAAATATGTTAAATATTTTTAATAAAAAATCTAATAATCATGCAAAAATTATTTAATGCAAAAATGCAAAAAAATATGACATTTAAATAAAAATAAGAAAATAAGGTCAATTAAAACAAGAAAATATAATTAAATAAATTAATTAATTAATTTAATTAAAGAGTGTGCAAGAAAAAAATATGGGGGTGTACTAGAAAAATATTTGGACCCAAAGAAATTTTGAATCCAAATGGCGGGGGGATGCATTTTATAACTAGGAAGTAATTTACAGGGGTGTGGAAAGTAATGTGTTTGAGGTCCAATTTATTTCTAAGTGAATCTAATTAACTTCTATAAGGTAAGTAATTAAATAAATATAATTAAATTCCATAATAATAATGTAAAAAGAACAAATAAAAACTAAAATTGAAAATAACTTATAGAGTAAGGAGAAACCACTTACTACACGAATGTGTGAAAGAAGCTGATCTTTCAGTTATCTATCTGGAGAGACAATTGAAAAAAAGAGCTTGTGTGTGTTTGTTCTTAGGCCATTTATGTTCAAGACAACGGCCCAAATATTATTGATAATTATTGATTCTCCAAATGATTGTTGATAGAAAATTTTTAGGTGTTCTGTTCAAAACCCTAAAATAAACCAAAAAATTGCGTAGAAAGAATGTTTGTGAGAGAGCAATAGAAAATTGTTGATGTAATTGTTGATCTCCAAATGATTATTGATGGAGACTTCAGGGTTTCTTTGTTGTTGTTTTTCGATGTGAAGAGCAACAACTTTTAGGAGAACTCTAGTGAGTTGTTGATGAAAAATAGAGTTAAAGATTGGCCTATTTATAGTGATAATTAGGTCAACAAATTAGAAAATAAAGTTAATTGACAAATCAAGTTTTCCTTGGTCACTAAGCTAACCAATCATAAGATGAGTATGACACAAATTGGCGCTGATTGACCAATAAAAACAATTAAATATAAAAGAAAATATTTTTGTTATTTATTATAATTTTTTGCACTCAATTTTGGTAAAAAAAATGTATAAAATCAAACAAATAATTTAAAAAATGTATTAATTAAAAGTACGAAAATAATATTTAAATAATAAAAAGAAATGACTTTTTTTTTGTGATTTTTTTGAATATAAATGGAAATAAAA